GCGGCTTGGGGCCGGGGCGGGCTTTTAGTGGGCCGCTCCAACAATACGGGCCTGGCGCGGAGAAAGGGGCTCGGCTGCAATTGGTACTGGATTTGAATAACGCCACGGGGCCATCAATGGTCATTGTGTCGGCGGGTAATGAATCTCCGCTGTCTCTCGGGCTGGCCAGGCAGCTGCAACCTGCGCTCAGGCAGCTCTTAAAGACATAGCGTGCCCCTCCCAGGGGGCCACCCCCCCTGCACAGGCCGGACCCCTCGCCCTCCCACCCCCACCCTGCATCCTAGACTCCCTATGCCCCGCCTGCTCTCTAGCCTGAACCCTTTGCCCATCGCCCCCTCCCTCTTCCTGGGCCAGGCACCCGCATCCCGGCCCTGCACTCCCATGGACCTAACTCAGGCCCCTGGCCTTGGCAGAACTCCCCAAGAGTGCCCAGGGGACCTCAGAGTCTTTTAAGACTCAACCCTGGCCTCCCATCTGTCTTTGAACCTGAGTTCTTTGGAGCCCCCTTGCCTTGAGCTCCTACCCCAGGGGCTTCCAGCTAGAGGGTGAGGGGGAACAGTCTAGAGGTCAGAGGGTCACCCCCTTAAAAGGCTATGCTGCAGGACAAGGGAGGAGGGGATGCAGTCCCAACCCCCAGGCTGAAGATGCCATCTCCAGAGACCACACCCCCACTGGGGATCTGGAGTCTGCCCTCTCCCTGACCAAGGACAAGGGCTTATTCCCAGGATACCTCCTGCAGGCTCCTGGATATCTCAGCTTTAGCAGGGTTGTAGGGGTGGGGGCAGCAGGAGGGTGTGAGAGGAACATGGAATCTATTAATTCTTGTCTTGTCATTGTCCCTTCCACTAGACAGCCCACTGGTCCAGGAGGCAGAGGCTCTGTCTAGGTCTGATATGTCCCCACCCCACCTGACCCCAGCCAGGTCTGGTGCAGAGAAGGTTCTCGGTCCTCTGAGGGATGCATACCCAGTTTTCACCTGCAGAGCTCACTCAGCCTATCTCCCAATGAATCACACCGTGAAAGGAACTGGGTGGTCATTCTTCCCATACATTCTGCTCTCCATTTACCTCAGGGTTTCCCAGACACCCAAAGCATCCCTGCCCCTGTCCTGAAATCCTCTTCTCTCCTCACAGTCTGTGGGTTACCAACACAAGCCCCCCCGAACTGTGATTCTTTTGGTCTGTTTTCCTCTCTTGGACAGGAAGTGGGTCTTACTGATCTTACTGCCTCCAGAGCCTAGTACAGTGCCCTCTGCACAACCAGGCATTGAATATCCATCAGAGACTTAAAAATGAGCCATGTAAACTTCTTGGAGTTTCTTATGAAAGTTATGAAAAGATATGGCTTCTGGGGAGCAATACTTGAAGTTGAGGCTTTATAGAGAGAGAGCCTAACTAACCAGGTCCCATCTTCTGGGAATGCGCCATCTAATAATAATAGTAACCATGACAAGTGCCTTATATACCAAGCACTAAGCGCCTTAAAGGTAGGAACCTCTTGACTCCTCACAACAACCCTGGGAAATAAGCACTATTGTCAGCCCCATTTTACAGGTGAAGAAAAACTGAGATTGGTGGCAGTTAAGTCCCTAGTCCCCAGCTGGCAGGTGGGGGAGCCAGAGCTAGAACCCACTGCACACTATAGATTCCTAGCCTTTACTTAGCAGATATGGAGGGGACTGGCATAAATGCACATCCAAAACGGTGAAACTTAGGGGGCACCCAGTGTCTGTTTATAAATTATAATCCAGTCTCAGTCCCACCCCAGCCTGGCAGAAACACAGCCTCGATGGAGAGGGCAAGAGTAGTCTCCGCACCAGTGGGTCAGGAGGAGATACTTAAAGCCTTCAGTCCTGGGCACCCTCAGGGAAACTGAGGAGCCTAGAAGGGTCCTCCCGCTAGTCACTGAACAGGTATTTATAGTATGTCTACTGTGTGCTAGTTGGAGATGGCCATGGGCAGATGTGCCCAAAGGGGATGCACAGCAGAGGCAGAGCACCAGGGAGGGAGAGCCGCCCACCCAAGGAGCGAGGAGCGGAGAGTGAGGTGAAGGCGGGCGGGGCGCTGAGGCGGGCACTGTTCCAGGCGGAGGGAACAGCACCGCCAAAGCTAACAAGCGAAAAAGAACTTGGTGAGTTCCTAGAAAGGAAGAGATCTGGCGTGGCTGGAGCACGAAGGGGAGGTGGAGTTGGAGCTGAGCTTGACCCTGCCAGGCCCTGTAGGACACTGGGAGAATTTGTGATTTTAACCTAAACGCAGTGGGGATCCTGAAAGACCTGACAAGTTCAGATTTACATTTTTAAAGGTTTGCTGGTGCTAGAGTGTAGAGAATGGGGGTGGGGGCCGGTGCGGGGGCAGAATAGGGGAGAGCTGGTTGAGGACAGAGACCAATTAGGCTACTGCCTGTTTGCAGGCGATAGCTGCCAGTGGCCTGGGCTTAGGTAATGGCAGAGTCCCAAACTGTTCTTGACCATTCGAGTGACCTCAGTCAGACAAGGCACTTGGCAGTGAGTAACACTGAGGGAGCACCTGTGGTGTCGTATGTGGATGCTGGAGGCTGGGGGTAGGAGAAGAGAAAGATGAACAGAGTCTGATGTTGCCTGTCCAGAAGTATCCATCCAGTGGACAAGTGGACAGACAGACACACAGTGAAAAGAGCCAGCCCCAGTGAAAGGAGCAGAGCCACAGGAAAACACTTTAACTGAAATATTAACAACATTCTCTGGGATTATAAAAGACTAAGCGATTCATTCCAACAGGGAAGAAAGCGGCTGGCAGAGGCAACATTACCTTGGGCTTCCAGGCAAGTGATTCCAACAGACTGAACCTTAGTTGTTGCCTCTGTG